TGGCCTTCTTATGCAGTGCCCTATCTTTTTCTGGACAGTAAGATAACACTGATAATAAAAAGATTAAATGGATGTTGATGATACTTATGAACACTTTGTATGAATTGTTAGCCACATGCAGTTGGCTTTGCTATCACCAGCTAAACAATAAAACCTCATACTGCATTGAAAGTACAGATTGTTTAACATGATAAATCAAGTGGCTGAACACCTTGGCTATAGTAAAAATTCAATTCATCTAAATCCAATTCATCTAAATCTTAGGATTCATCTACAATGATTTTTCTATATGGCTATGTGCTTATGTACTGGGTCTGGCTGGGATAGAGGTAATATTCTTCGTAGCAGCTGGTATGGGGATGTGTTTTGGATTTGTGGCTAAAACAGTGTTGGTAACACAGGAGTGTTTTGGCTATTGCTGAGCAGCACTTGCACATTGTCAAGGTTTTCTCTTTTTCTCACTCTGTCCCCCCAGCAAGTAGGCCAGGGGTGGGCGAGAGTTGGGAGGGGACACAACCTGGACAGCTGACGCAAACTGATCAAAGGACATTCCATGCATGTAATGTCATGCTAAATAAAAAAGGATGGGAAAGGATTTTGGGAGAGGTAGTCATTGCTCCAGAAATGGCTGGGCATCAGTCTGCTTGCGGGAGGTGGTGAGTGATTGCCCTTGCATCACTTGCTTTTTTCTTCCCCTTTTCTTCACTTATTGAAGTGTCTTCATCTTGACACAGAAGTTTTTCTCGCTTTTGCTCTTCCTATTCTGTCCCCCATCCCACTGTGGAGGAAGGGGGACAAGTGAGCAAGTGGCTGTGTGATGCATAACTATTGGTCGGGGTCAACCCACCAGGACTCTAAAATAACAATCCTTAGGAAAGCACACTTTCATCAAATTGCTCATGATAGTTCTTTGCAGCTCAAAGAACTGCCATGTGCTAGCAAGCGCACCCCTGTGAAAATTTTGTTTTCCATATTATTACTTGTAGTCCAGTAAGTTTTGAGTAAAGGATTTCTTAAAAATTAAGTATATTCGGAAAGTTTCACAGGTAACAGTTCTATTGAAACGAAAACCAAAGAAGGCTTAATTCATCCCGCTGTTGATCCTGCTGTTCTTTGTACTACTATAGTGTCTAGGAGTTTAAGCATGTCCAGATTTTTATACAAAACCAGAGAACATCAATATTGCTTTTGATGATCCTCTCTAGTCTTTTTACCTACCTAGAAAGCCACCTTTGAGCTTTTTCTTCAACTCTGCATAGTCCCTGATTAAACAGGGTTATTAAAAAGTTTCCCTTGTGTGACAATTGTACTTGAGGGTGGAGATATATACAGTATACTTTTAGCCATAGAGTCTTCTGAGTTCAGCTTCTGATACCCAAGTATATCAGCAATGGATAATTTCTAAGAGATCTGGATCTCTGTTATCAAATGGTGGTATGTCTGGTCTTCAGAGTCTGTAGCTGTCTGTATTACAGAAAATGATTCTTACAGCAAATTAGAACTGCATATTTTGTAAATACCTGTTTTCCTTTCAAAGCTCTTGTCTGTAGAAAGATACAGAAATTCTTAATTGATCCTGGCTTTCATATCTATATTCAAAGAAGATATAGTGATTAAGATTGTCTGCTTGTCGTAGAACAGGATCTAATACTTTATTCAGTATAGGGACTTAATCAGATCCAAACCATATAGCATATTAACAACTTGCATTTAGATGTGAGACTGGACAGTAAACTTTACATTTGACAGTTCCCTGTCATTTTCAAAGCTGGTCAATCCTAATGACTCCAAGGCCAGACAGAAGGGTGTCTCCATACCAAATGCAATTTATGAGAAGTCATTTTGAAGGACCTCTATGTAATCTGTATACATGTAATGTACCTACAGCTGCATTATGGAATAATTTGGTGCAGTAGGATTGAATCAGCAAATTGAACAGCAGAGGCTGAAGACAGCATGTTTACAGTAGAGGTTTAAGCTTTGAGTTAATCTGAGGTGAACATTCCCTCATGTGTTTCAAAACTGTCTGAAGGCTCAAGCATTATTTTGGTCCTTTTGTCCCTATTAAGTATTGGAGTACATTTGCTGTGGAGCTTCCTGTTTAGTTTCCTCTTAATGAAAATTAGTTTGCAAGCACTAAAACTTATCTGCAAACCAAATCAATGCTCAATAAATGGGGACAGTGAGGAAATTCACTTCAAAAGCATCCTAATCAAAAAGCTAATGCCAATAGTCACTGTATGTTCAATGCAGTCATGCTTTTCTCAAATACAAGAGTGAGTGAGTGATATCAGGAGTCCATTTCAGAACAAACAAAATGTGCCACATGTAGTTAGGCTATAGAACACCTGCCACAGCAGTTTGTGGAAGCTAAAAAGCTTATAAAAGCTTAAGCAGAGAATGAGCAAGATCTTGGGAGACAATTGAGAATTACATTGAAATGACATCCAGTGCAGGAAGCATTTTGTATGAACTACAGAATCTCAGAGGCAGAGAGAACACTCCAGGGGAGGGATCGTGTGCTTGTCCTGGTCCTTAACTCTAACTGAGCACCTACTTCAATGTCTGCCAGAGGCAGGATATTAAGCTAGATGAATCCCTGTGCCAATCTGATATGGCTGTTATTACATTCTTAGGGAAACTGAGGAAACTAAAATCAAGCATGTGGTTTAAGGTTAAAAGAATTACATGATCCCACTTCAGCAAAAAAGGAAATTCTATGTAAGGAAATGTGGTGTTGCCAGAGAAATAAAAAGAAAGAAGTTCTTTTCATTTGTGTAATTCATTTTAATTGCCTTCAGTAATTCCACGAATTAAGATGACGACTGATATCTTTGAGGACTCTGTTGAGGAAAATACAGTGCTTCACGGAAACTTTTACTGACAACATTGATAATGTTAGTTATTGCAGATTGTCAAGGGGGAGAAAAAGAGCAGGATATTACAAATTCTGAGTGGAAGATTACTTAAAAAATTGTATGGAAGATTAGAGAATTGCTCTGGTTTCTTGTCTTACACATTATGTAGTATTTGTAACTCCTATTTGCTTAGAATTTGCTGCATAGAGTTGTTTATTTGTTTTCTTAACAAGTCTCAACATCTAAATTTCAAATAAATGCTTTTAAATAGTTCCTTGGTAGACATGCTTATAGTTAAAAATATGGAAAATACTGTTTGTCATATAATAGTTATTTTCTTCCTTTCTCCTTTCCCTTATATTGGTACACAAACACACACACTGTTATATTAATGTAAACTTCGTGTGTTCCTTCCTAGAAGTCACACCTTTTTTCTATTTTCTATGAGAAATTAAAATTTCTTTCCTCTATCTTCCCTTATTCTGTTCTTACAAGATTAAAAAAACAGTAAGTCACATCTTACCATCTAACTATAAACGTATAAGCATGTTGTCCTTGTTAGTTATTGTGTTCTTGTTCATGTTCAGGGACCTGAGGATATTCAGTTTCTGTTGTAGCTGTGAATGTAGCTGTGTTGAGAAACTTGCCTTACTGAACAATTTTTCATCTCCTTAAGAACCGGAAATAAATTATTAATGTAATCATAAAGTGTACAATTTTATACACAGTTTTTTGTATCATGATGAACCATCAGAATTCCAACCTATGTTTTCTGCTTTTAATGATATAAAGTGACAGAGCTGTGGAAATCATGAATTAAGTATAGTAGGTTAACTTTAGCTGAAATTCTCAGGAGCCTGAGATGAACACAATAAATCAGAGCTGTCCTATCTATTTCAATTGCAGCTGTCTTGCCACCAAGATTTGAGGTGGAGAATTTATTGGTGTAGAAGTAATCATTTTCCTTGCAAAGGGCACACAACATTGTTTCTGGTTTTTGCCATACTGAAATAATCTGAATAAGTATCTCCAACACACTTGCCCAATATAGGTAAACATACAAGTTGAAATTAATTTGTTTTGTTAACAGCAAATGTTCTGAAGTAATCCTATTTTAAATTATTTTAACTGTCTTAGTACAAACCTCTGTGTCAGTGGCCTTATAATGAAATGGAATCATTCAGGATCAATTTCTCAATGTCCTTGTCTGTGAACTCAAATTTTTCAACCAGCCAGTGCACTCCTATAGGCTGAGCAGCAAAAAGATACAGTTCTTTATCTTTGTATAAAGAAGCGTCTGAACTCTGTTTATATTAACATTTGCACTTACAGGATTATTCTACTGTGGAATAGGAATAACTTTTTCACGTTAGTATTGTTTTACATATGTGGTATTCTGCCACAGCTAAAGTTGCTGCACTGTACTAAGAAGAATTGATCAACATTTTGGGAAAAAAATTAGTGCTTTTGCTTGAGCATCCAGCTGAGGAAACATTTTCAAAAGCAGAGAATGCCCATCCTTTGAAAATCAAATCCTTTTAAGTAGTTCGTGTGAGCATTCTGTAACAGAGGGGCTCAGATTCACTAACCATATTTCAAACTCTTGGCTGCTTTTTCAAAAAAATCATGTACATACCATACATTTGAAACTTCGTACATGTGTTTTCACTTTCCAGCTTCCTGAACAAAATGTGATAGCTATATGGAACAGTTGGTGTTAACTACGTTTGGTACCTGTTCAATTCCAATTGAACTTCCAATTATTTGCACTGCAAAAACAGGTTTAAATTTGTAAGTTCTCGTCTGCAACAATAAAGAAACATACACAACTTAATGTTCTTTTTTTAAATCTGAAAGTCAAGTTTAATTATTTGTTTTTTATTCAGATATTAATGTCTACCACTATCTATTATAGTATGGATTTTAAATTACTTTTCAAATCCAATACACATTATTGGTACATTAAAAGCATTCATTTAGGTACAATAAATAAATAAAAATTGAAAATTAGCAAATGTTCATCACTTTAATTATATTTAGTATACAACCTATCCAATTTTGAGTGTAAGAGATACTTAATCTGTGGGATCTCTAAAACAGTAAGGCAGTAATTTATATCTTTGAAATGTTTTTCATTGGCAGCTAAAGAAGAAAGTAAAAAAGAAGAGAGCAGTTTGGAAAATGCACAAAGATGGTAAGGTTTTTGCTAGTGTTTTCTAACAGTTTATTTTGGTCAAAGATGTTATTGATCTTAGGAATTACATTAAATAGGAAAAAGGATCTGTACTTCAAAGAAGTAATATGCTTTCTGAAAAATTCTTACGTAGTCTTCCAGGAAAAAGTTCAGTTGAGTTTTTAGCCAAACAGTGTACTCTGTTTGAGGTTTTAATTACCGTCAACACTGAACTGAATCAGAGTTTTACAGAATATTGTAATGACTGATTAACTACTTAATGTAGTAAAAATGTATTTCATTGTCACTGAACATTTTCAGCACTTAGGGTATTGAATGCAGTATACTAAGAAACCAGTGAAATCCTAATGTTTTTATTGCCTGAATATCTGTGCCTTACTTAGGTCAAAAAAGATAACATAGAGGAAGAAGTGAGAAAAATTGATTTATAGCTGGATAGTAAAATATTTAATAAGTTAATATTTCCAATAAATTTTGTTGACCAAATTATAGTTTTGTGAGAGTGAAGGATCTGCCTTTAACTTTGTTTGTGTTAGCTATGGAACTGCTATAAATCAACTGGGGTAACTAATTTTTAACTTCTTATCAATATTTTTTCTTCATAGTCACTAAAGGCAGATCTGTGGTGATCTGGATTTTTATGTTACTTTTCTGAGCCCAGAGTCACTCCACCTAACTGGGACACCTAGGTTAGTCTTCCTAGACAGTCAGGAAAAGAGAGGTAGGCACCTCCCAAATGCAGTTCAAGTCTTAGGTGAACTGTTTCCATTTGCTTCCAGAAGGTGCCTAAATTGGCTGAACTATTGGCTGACATCAACTGGGGCTTTACCTCTTAATTTTGTTTGTCAAGGGTGGCTGGCTTGTTTCCTCTCTATCTAGCTACAAACCTCCCTTTTGTGGCACAGGCACTTTCATATCCTACCTGCTTTGTAGCCTTTCTGGAGCAGAGTAGACTCTCCAGGGTATGGAGGTACACTTAATTTGCGGTTGACTTAAGGAATTAGTTTTCTGATACAGAGTTTAGGTTTTTCAATTGTTAACTAAACATTCAGTATCTTAAATTGCTGCCAAAAAGATGTTACTTTTGAAAGTCAGAAAGCAGCCTAGGAAGCTAGATTAAGCTGGGTGAAAGCAAAACAGTGCTACTGGGGGAAGGGCTGAAGATGAAACATGAAGAGGGGATGAAGAGTAAGCATCAGGATGAAGGCAGAGTGAGCGACAGTGTGCAGGAATTGAGAATCCTGGAGCATGCAGAGACAACTGCATCAGCTACAGCTGGGATGGAGAAGGGTTCCGTTAGGAAGAAGAAAGCACAATGTTACTGGGGCTGCTGTTACATGAAGCAAACCTGAGAAGAGAGTTTCTGGTCTTTCTGTTCCTGGCTCTGCTATCCTAGTCAAGGGGTATGAACAACTGAGGAATATTTGGCCCAAGTGAATGCAATGGAAATGACATAAGCTGTTTTAACCACGTGATTATAACTAAGGTATTTTAGTATTTTTAGGGTTGGAAATCCCAGAATGGTTTACACAGATATTTAAAGCTCTATTAGTTTTTTTTTTAAATTTATTTATTTTCTCCTTGTAGTGTCACTTCAACTCTGAATGTTATGGGCTTATTCTTACTTATTTCACTGTGATTCCTTTCCCGTGGATCACCAATTAACCTGAAATATAGTTACATGTTTCACACAAAACCTATGTAAGAAATTGAAAAGGTTAAGGTTATCATATATGAGGATTTAAAAATCTATTATATTAATAGCTCACCTTAAGCAATATGTGATATTCTTCAGCATGTCCTAGAAGCTGTATCCATCTTTAAAGTATCAAAAAAGCTAGAGTATATTGGCTCATGTGGCTAAAATCCAAGCTTCTTTACTTTGCGAAGCAGCTGGAGTATATATTCCTTTATTTTTGGGGGGTAACTTCTGTATTTTTTTGATGGCTACTTTATATTCTTCAAGTCTAGCTACAAGCTTGTATCTCAACCTAAGGCCAAAAAACTTGACCCTAACCTTGGCAATTCCATATGAAAACATGAAAATATGCATTGTGGACTATGCAAATGCAAGTATAAGTTAAGAAAAAAGTATTTGCTGAAGCTGCATCTGTTGCTCGAGTAACATCTGTTGAATAGTTGGGGACTTACAAGTCTTTAAAATACCTCTTATTTATTTTATTTTCAAGATTTACACTTCCTGTGTTCTAGATTTAGGACCTTTTGGCAGCTATAAAGAAGAATATAACTTTCTTTTGCTTAAATAAAACCAATATTTCAAGAAAAATGAGTTATTTTGAAATATGTTGGTACCTTTCTTTTTAACTTACAGCATTATTTTCCATAAGTATCACCAAATCTTTCAGGATTATTACATCTACTTTGCTGAGAAAAGTGATGCAACCCTTACAAAAGTAAACATACTTTTGTTTTGTTTAGATAAGTCTCCACATACCTAGTCATGTGAATCATTCCATTTTATCTATACAAAGTAATATCATAAAGGTTAAAAATGCACAATCGGTTAAAAATGCACAATCAGTTAAAATGCTATCGGAAGTATTGGCTAAAATAAAAGACTACTTTGAAAATATCCAGCTGTATAGCAACTCAGTAGCCACATTACCAAATAAAAAAGCATTAAAATATTGGCCATGTATTTTCATAAAATTAATTATCTGCTGATTGACGCATGTGGAAGGAGATGATGTATTTTCAGTAAAAACTGTGGAAATTGACTGTTGCCACTGACTGTGGCTTTTTTGTTGCTACTCTCAATTCTCCCTAAGTACTTGAAGGTTATTTTTAACCAAGCCTGGAGATTTTTTTCTGACTTGGCATGGGACTCTTCCATAGTCCTTCAATAAAGCAATAAAGATAAATGGGAGAATAAGATCTTCATGGAGCGTTGCAGAATAAAATTAAAGAAATAGATACAATATAGCATTTCCTGAAATGCAAGAAGTTTTTCTCATTAAAATTGAATGCTCATGATTTGCCTGTGTGACATATCTCTCTGATGGCTCATGCATGTGTAAGTTATCCTCCTGGGAATGAGGTAGGTGTTGGAAGGTTAGTTATACTCGGCATGAATTGCTGCTGTGATTTCCAAGGCTAAGGGGAAGTTATGGTAATTACCAGCCTTGACTACTGAATCAAGAACCAGCCCTCAGAGAAACTGTTTCCCCAGTGGGCTTATGTGTTGACAGTTTTTTCCCCCCTTCTTCGTAGCTTTGAAGAAACAGTGGGATACTTTGGGATAAAGCCAAAGCCTGGCGAGAAGGAGATCACACCAAACTACGTTTTCACGGTGTGGTACGAATTCTGCAGTGACTTCAAGACCATTTGGAAACGAGAGAGCAAAAGCATTTCCAAGGAACGGTAAGGTTCTAATAAAGTCATTAATACCATTTTAGATGTCTGGGAAACTGTTCCTTCTCAAACCCAACAAATTATACTCCTATATTTCACAGGCGTCATTGTTTTCTTTCAGATCTAATGGACATCAAGGAAAGATTATTCCCTCAGGGTGCGTAGGAAAATTCACCAAAGGCATGCTGTCCCCACAAAAAGATAAACACATATAATCTGATAAATTACACTTTTGTAACCCCTTCCAATTACTAGCTAGTAAAATGAAAGGGGAGCTGTGCTAATTTGTAACAGATTGCTTCTCTGTGCATTTTCATGTTGAACTAGCCTAAATGAGGCGATATTGCTGTCGCAGACAGTACAGACAAATAAAAGTGAATGCTTTTCCAGTTAATATACTGCACTTGCATCAAAGGGAAGCCCCAGAGATTCAGGCCACACTTAGCACAGTGTCGAAGCCCCACACTGAATTTACAGCACTACTTCTGACTTTTGGTGTCCTGCTGAGGACATCAAACTACTTGCCGCTAGATCTCACCACAGCCTCCTGATTTTATTAGTTAGAGTGAAAAAAAAAAAAAACCCAAAAAAAACCCAAAACGAAAACCTTCAATTATTTGCTTGATTTTCTTAAAGAAGCTTAAAATCTTTTACAAAGAAAAACCAATTCCAGTTCAAGCACACCATGCTTACCATATCTCAGTTCATATGAAAAGTCCTAAAGAGTGGTAATGTGGCCATGCTTTGGAAAAGAATGGATTAATCACTTTCAGTGTGAAATATAAATCCAGGTGCTTATTCCAAATTGACACAGATTTAGAGAAAAAAGTCTTTAAAAATATCGGCAAAATTAGTTAACTCATTTACATTTACATTTTCCATTTTGCTCCAGATCAGTGCGGCTCAAGTTCATGTAAAAGTAGATTTTTAAAGGACAAGATGTAGAAATTATAGATTTCCAATTACCAACCTTATCAACATTGTTTTACAAATATTACAGGTTTTAAACACTTGAAAGTTGTAGCTTTTTGTATCGTCTATGTTATGATTAGATTGATTTTAGAAGCTGACAACTCCAAACATCTACAAAGAATCTTTTATTTCCTTATGTCTAGATCAATATGCAAATTTGTTTTACATGTTAAAAACTGTGTAAAATAGTCACTAGCAGATTGCTATAATCATGATAAGGATCATCTCAGGGATATATTTTCTGCTGAATCATGACTTATTTTTGTTCCAAAAGCAGTTCAGAGGTATAGAAACTAATTACCCAAGGAGAAAAAAAATCTAGACCATACATCCATTCCTTTTTATGTAATTAGCACATTGCTGATGGCATACAATGATGCCTTCAAAGAAATTGATTTTAAATGCCTTGTAAATGCTTTAACACTACATAACTTCTTAAACCTTCTTAATACAATATTCAAGAAATCTTTGGTTGTAAGTAAACTGCTATATTCTATGCTTTCCTACTGGGGTGAGATGAGAATTTCTCATGGTTTAATAATTATATAAATAAAATATACAAATAAAAATACAGCACAAATATTTCATCAGCTCCTTTGATGGATACCTTTATTCCTATTCATAAATGTAAAGCAATACCAGTAGAATGCAGAGCACCAGTTACTATAATACTTCAAAGCGAACACTTTCTGGATTATATAGACGGTTCACTTCAAATTATTTTTACTAAGTTTCATTAATGTCAAAAGGACAATTCATTGTCCTTTACATTCAAAATTTGGGTGATTCATTTAAGACAATGAGCTGCTGAAATGAAGACCCTTGTGTAATAAGTAAACTAGAATGACAGAAGAACTGTTTTCATCATCCTAAATTGTTTTGTAGTGTGCTACTGAAAAGAATGTCATGAAATCAGTAGGTTAGAATTACGGAAAAGCTATTTTCGTCACCTGAAAATGTCCTGTAAAGTCATGACCATTTAAGGGTTCTGTTTTACAAAGTATGAGACTAACAGTTGATGAGCTGCTGTCCAAAAAAGTTTGAAAGCAAGCTAAGAGTCATTGTGCACATTAGTAACTGAAAACCTTAGTATGACAGGAATGGACAGCTGTCTTCCTTAACTGGCTAATTAATTGGATGCACTATTTGTTTTGCATTTTTAAAGACTGTAATTTAATTTTAAAAAATCTGTTTATCATGAACCAATTATTTTGTTTTGAAGGAATTTTAAAGAGGAAGAATTGGCAGTGTAAGTCAATATTTTCAAACTTGGGTTCTGAAACTGAGGCATTGATATCCTTAAGTGAACATGTTTACAATTGAATTACCCTTCAAATTTCAGGAGGAGCTGCAGAAACAGTGTAAAATGGGTCTGAATTAGCTAGTCACATATATACCTAAAAATGGATTTCATTGTATACATTTATATAGGAATGTTAATATTGGATTATAAATTGTCTCTCAAGAAATATGGCTCAGAAAAGTCACAATTTAATTATAATATGCAGAATTATCACTATGCAATGGTCTAACTAAACATTTATTATGTTAAAACTTATAGTAGTAAAAATACGTTGAAAGATCTAAGATTCCAAAATCAAAATTTATACTCAAAACTAACTACTTTGCGTTGTATAACAGACAACTTTAAAATCTTTGAATTTCAGAAACTGCCTTGAACTAAATGACAGCCTCAGCTGCAAGAGCCTGTTTTGTCTAAAAACTACTTGGCTCCCAAATGTAACACAACTGTAGAAATCTAATTAGATTTCTATGAGACTTTTTCTTAAAGCAAAGGAAACACTTTAACTGAGCTGCCCTGCATTTAACCTACCGTGAAAATAAATTAGCTCCCTGCAAAATATAGTTGAATCATTGTCTCTTTCCTGGACAAAATTTCCACACCATTTAGGAATGCAAGACAGAGTTACAGAGAGATAACAAACCTAAGTTGATATGATTATGATATGATATGATATGATATGATATGATATGATATGATATGATATGATATGATATGATAAATAAATGACTATAGAGATAAAATGAAGAAAATTTTCAAAACCGTATTCCTGACAGAAATATGATGACAGTTTTCTTTCAGACATAGTATTCCCTTCAATATCAGAATGCAACTACAGTACAATAAAATTTGCTTTGATGATCACCTCTTTATCTCTGACAAATGGCTTAATGTAAATGCACCATAATACTCACCAAATGTTGGAGACTTTTGTTTTGTTTTGCTTCAAAACCCAGTATTGTTGTTGATAGCTTTATAATTTAGTATATCTGTGCATCCAGGTACATCAACTGCTTTTATGCTTTCTTCTGTTTATAAAATTTTGAGATGATAACTGAATTGAAGATTAAAACAAAGGTATATTTTTTTGGCAACAAGGCACTTACACCATGGTAGATTGCATATAATTCCATGCTCTCTTCCTTTTCTTAGATTACTAATTTTATTTGCAGTGGGCGAGTCTATGAATTCAGAATCAAAATAAATATATATTTATAACAACATAAATACTTTATATATATATATATATATATATGAGTGTCTATATAAGTCTAATAAAGCATTCAAGATCTGTTAAAGTATATTTTAAGAGGATATCCTAGCCAAGTCTGAATATAGGGAAAAAGTATAAATACAGAAAAAATACTAATAGTTTGCAGTGAGTAGTTTCATGACAGACTGTGATTGTATGTTTTGCAAAAGAAATGTGACAAGGATTAAATATGAAATAATTAGATATAAAAGGAATTATTGCTGTTAATTTGACCCGCTGCTTACACTGCAAAGATAAGATTGCTACAGTAGTTACCATACTGGATTAAGCCATCTCTTTCACATTGAACATACATACAAATTTTATAGGTCAGAATTCAGTAAAGAAAAAGAGAATTGAAGTTTGTCTCAATAGCTGGAGAAGACATAATAATTATTTAATGAACAGAATTATATACTTCATGTCAAAAATAGGAAAAAAGTCCTATTTTTTAATGGTACCTTTTATAAAAGGTCCTTTTTTAAAAATGCTTTCTTTGTTTTTGAATTTCATCTCTAGCACAAAACATGTTGATGGTTTCAGCTTAATCTTGTGCAAAAAGACATAGTGATTTTTTTTTTTGCCACAAAGGCAATAACAGGTTTGAAAAGCAGAAGCTCTGACTGTAGCAGTGTAGGTAGCTAATGGTAAAGATGAAAATGTCCTAACAAAAGAAAAAGCGCTGAGGAGTGCCCAACTAATTTTTGTTTATTATAGTAAATTGGAGCTGGCTATAGCTTTCTACCCAACTCTTCCATTTATTAAATACAGAATAAAGTCGGCCCTCTGTTTCTGCACAGGAAAAGAGTAAGTCTGGGGAGTCCTTGTTTGTAACACCACATGATTGTAAGAGAGAACATATAAATTGCAAAATCTCTTCTCAGTGCTGGCCAATACAATATTTAATATTTTTCACCATTGATGAAGCTAATTATGAGACTATCTTGTGCCTAACAAATGACTGAAATTTGACAAAAACTCTTGCCATAGAGGAACTAGCGGATTATATTTTCATTTTCAATATCACAGTGAGCAAGGAAGAGAAATAATCTTTAGTTCAAGACATTGTATCTATTTTAGAAGACCAGATTTGTTTTATAGTTTGATTTTAAAAAGTTAATTTCTCTTTCATCTATTGTATGTCATGTGTATGTTACCTAAGACAATGAGAGTCAGTGAAAGTCTAGATTTGCAGACATTTTGATCAATTTGTACTATCGTAGAACACTATCTACTGAGCATTAGTCAAACACTCCAAAATAGGGTATCATCCAGTTATCATACAATCTGCATGTATGATAAAAGCCAAAAGATGAGTGTAACAGATGTTGTTTATTTCATTTGATATTAAACTAATGGTCTAATAAGGCAAACTGACATGACAACATAAATGAGTTTTAAGGAAGTATTTGAAATATGATCATTAGGATCACTAGGTGACTTTATGATTTATGCTGGGAGTTCCTTGTGCACATAGTTGCA